TCTATGTTCTGTTTTTGCGATGCTGCATACTTCGCATTCATTAATAAAATTTTGAATTAATTCTTTGGTGATCGGGAAAATAATATTTTTCTTTAAAAAGTGCTGTTTGTTTTTCTATTCCTATTAAAAATTTCTGGGGTTATTTCGAATTCTAATTTAGTATTTCTATGTTCTGTTTTTGCGATGCTGCATACTTCGCATTCCTTAATAAAATTTTGAATTAATTTTTTGGTGATCGGGAAAATAATATTTTTCTTTAAAAAGTGCTGTTTGTTTTTCTATTCCTGGATGTAATAGTATGTGGAGATCTTCATGACTCCGCACACTGCCCAGCGAGCAAAATTGACTGCAACTTGAAAAAGTGCGGTAACTGCGGTGGCAATCACACTGCTAACTACAGAGGCTGCCCAGTTTATGAGTTGCATGCACCAGAGAGGAACTGCCGCCCGCACCCAAAATAAACAGCTGACAGCTTCCAGATCAAACCCTGAAGTCTTCTTCTCGACTGCAGCCAGATCCAGGGACCAGATACTAGGACCCATAAACTCTGATAAAAATGTGACTTACGCAAGCGCTTTAAAATCAGGACTGGCTAACCCTGTCTCAAAAAGTTCATTTCTGCAATCAGCATACCAAGAACCAAACACGGCTCAGCAGCAACAATTCCCGGAGCAAGCAACTTTGAACAAAGCCTTACGGAGTTTATGTCGTTTACGCGCACAACTATGCAAGATTTAATGCGAAACCAAAATCTATTGATTCAAATGCTGATTTCACAACAATCCAAATAATGACTTCCCTAAGGATATCTACGTGGAACCCTAACGGCGTCTCACAGCATAAACTTGAGTTAGCTCAATTCCTACTCGACAACCATATAATAACAAATTCGGGATTTAACACTTTGAAAAAAATATAATTTTTATTTATCAAAATAGTGTAAACGCGAACTGGGAGAGATAGGTGCAGTCCTTACAAGATTCAACTTAAAACTCCAACTTATAAACTAGCTGGCGATGATTTTGGGTGGGTGGCGATGATTTTGGGTGTGACAAATGCGTAATGTAAATATGTTTATGTGGTAGTCTCATCCAAATTCCCCACCAAGCAGTGCGATCACCCACTGAGTACCTCGTTCTATCACCAGGGGGCGCCTCAAACAGGATCCTCCCCGGGTTTCGCACCAAGCAATGTGGTCGGCCCTATTCCCACTGCAGGCCGCTAGGCGACGCTCTTATAGATGCCTTGTCGTTAACCTCGTGTTCAGATCGGTTTGACCAACGGCTCTCGCGCGTAGAGGCATACTCGGCGATTAGAATCCGTGCGGAAACAGGCCTTTACGATCGACTACCTCGTCGAAGAGCACTCGTATCCGGTCGCCTTACAGCCTCCCCATACAAATTCCTACTACAGGTCCCACCCTTCTATATAAATTTCTTGTATAGGTTCCTTGGTCCCCGATTGAGATTCTACCCCGGCCAGAGAACTGCGTTACAAGTGGCGCCCGAGCAGGGACCTGATAGGGAGAAAGACCAGGAACTAGTGAACGCGCCCGGTATCAAGCCCACGAGCTTACCCGCGATCCCGTACAGTCCACGCGATCGAGTGTCTGTGAAAATACAAACGTATGGCCCAAGAAGCCCCGTAAAGACTCCAACAAGCGAAGACATCATTCCAAGGCAACGCACCAAAGACTCGCTGCAAACATGGACCCCGACCAGAAAATTGCCGGTGAGTCCGTTCCACACTTATTTCACAATCCCGGGGTCCCCTCGCGGTGGATTTATTCCCGCTTGAAGGCCGAATTACTACTGTCGCCTCTCCGGTCGGCAGTAACCAAGAAACTTTCACGGAGCCGAGCCATGACCGGAATCGCCGCGAGATTGTTTGCGTCCCCGAACGAATTCGTAAATGGGGCCTCCAATTTGACGGATATTCAGACCCCTTAGCCTTCATCGAGCAGGTCGAAAGTCGGGCCTTATCCTACGGGATAGACCTAGGACTCCTTCTTCGAGCCATGGCAGAGCTGCTGACGAGCAGAGCAGACAAATGGTTCCAAACAAGCCGCCTCCAAGGGCTCCTCGAGTTTTTCCTCCCACCCCGATACCTCCAGCGCTTGGACGACCAGATTCGGAGTCGTGAGCAGTTGGAAGGGGAAACATTTAAAGACTTTATGCTAGATCTCCGAGTCCTCATGCGCCATGCGGGCTACAACGAAGACCAAGAGCTAGAAAGGCTATACGAAAATGTCGCGCCGGAATACCAGATGTATATCCGACGAATTAGCCGAATTAGCCCAATTGGCCACCGAGTTCGAGGCCGTTCAGAAGCGGAGCCTCGGGAGGAACAACTATAACCCCGCCACCAGAAATCCGACAGCGTACCGCTCCCCTTCACAAGGTCAGACCCAACCTACGTTCGCTGAGAGAGCCCCCCTACGGAGCCCACCCCGTACATCTCCAGAGCCCAGAACTGCCCCGCCAGCTAGGGTTAACCGGGTGACCGCACCCGAACGACGAATCGACGTGCGGGATGCTTGTCGAAATTGCGGAGCACCGGGACACTTCAGCCGCGACTGCCGGAATCCTCGACAGTACTTCTGTTGGGACTCTACTCCTACTCTTTGCGGACGTGACGCTCGCCCGGAAGACAATTCAGGTTCCCCTTCTAGTAGTGCCCGCCATGTTGGAACCTTTAATCCTAGGGATGGATTTCCTCGCTTCTATCGGCACTATCCTCCGATGCGGTACGGCAAGCCTCACGCTGTCCCGACAAAGACCCAGAGAAGGTCAGACGATTAGGTACAATGAACCACGGCCTGACAATCAAGGCAATCCATCAGAACCACCACCTCGACTCCGATCGCGAGGACCACCCAGCCCCGAAGCTACGCCCAGCACAGCCAACGGACATCCATCAACGGACACGCAGGAGCCCCTAGCAAGAAGCGGCGCACCGAACGCGGTGTGCGCGGCAGCTTCTCCTGATACAACGCAGCTCCAGGAAAACCCCGTTGATGGGAAAACCCCATAGAGATACAAACACTACAGCTCCCAAGCAACAGGAACGTGTACAACCGGCGCCTGCCGTGGATAACCCCTTCCACCTGGAGCCCTTGGCTGACTCCGCCATAGCCCGGAAAAGGAACCCTTTTCGAACGGAACCTCGGCTAGGCATAGCCAACCACGAGACAGGGCCACAGCATGACAGGGTTGCGCCCGAAGGGCAGCATAGAGTATGGGAAACGCATTACGCCACAGCATGCATGGAAAAAGACGCGACCAGCACCACAGGATTAAACACCAGCATGGCAACCGAGGACGACGACAGGAAACGCCGGGAGGAAGACGCCGAAAATCCACGAGGGACATCCGATACGTGCACTGTGTCCAAGGGGAATCAAGTACTCAATCAGGAGGGCAAGGAACGCGGCTGCGAGACTAATCCGCAGGTCCAAGCGTTCCTTAACGAACAGCTAGCGCGATTTGAAGGAATGGCGGGGGTAGCAAACATAGCGGAACACCGGATCACCATGAGGGACGACCGGTCGATTAAACAACGCTATTTCCCAAAGAACCCTGCCATGCAACGGATCATAGACGAGCAAGTAGACGCGTTGCTGGAGCAGGAATGTATCGAACCGTCGCGTAGTCCGCACAGTGCTCCGTTAGTCTTGGTCCGGAAGAAAACCGGCCAGTGGCGCATGTGCGTGGACTATTGGCAACTAAACGCGAAATCGATTCCGGACGCGTACCCGTTGCCGCGCATTAACCACATCTTAGAACGACTGAGAAACGCGAGATACATTTCGACCCTGGATCTGCGCAACGGGTACTGGCAGATACCAGTGGCCAAAGATAGCCGGGCAAATACCGCCTTTACGGTACCCGGACGCGGCCTATTCCAATGGCGCGTCATGCCTTTCGGGCTGCATTCGGCCCCGGCAACTTTTCAGCGAGCCCTAGATAGCGTGATCGGACCCGACGTCGACCCATACGCGTTCGCCTACCTCGATGACATTATTGTCATTGGGGCCAGCCTAGGGGAACACATGGACAACCTGCGCAACGATTGAGGAGAGCTAACCTGCGCATCAACCAGGAAAAGTGCTCCTTCTTCAAGAGAAAACTGGCCTACCTTGGACATGTGATCAGTGACCAGGGTATCCACACCGACCCGGACAAGGTAGCCGCCGTGCGAAACCTGAGCCCTCCCACTAGCTTAAGGGAGCTAAGGAGATGTCTCGGGATGGCCTCATGGTACCGACGATTCGTGCCCAACTTTGCCTCGGTGGTCCAACCCAAGACGAACCTGCTAAGGAAAAACCAACGGTGGAAGTGGGAATCGGAGCAGCAGAATTCATTCGATCTCCTGAAAGGTTTGCTGACAGACGCACCAGTGCTGGCGTGCCCAGATTTCTCCGTCAGGATGACGCTCCAAACTGACGCCAGTAACTACGGACTCGGGGGAGTGCTAACCCAGGAAATCGACGGCCAGGAGCGAGTCATTGCCTACGTCAGCCGCAAGCTCGATGCCGCGGAGTTGAATTATTCGCCCACGGAAAAGGAATGTTTGGCCATCGTCTGGGGAATACGGAAACTGCGATGCTACCTCGAAGGCTACAGTTTCGACGTAATCACCTACCACCTAGCCCTGAAATGGCTGGACCAGATCGAAAACCCCACCGGAAGGATTGCCAGATGGGCCTTAGAGCTCCAGCAATATCAGTACGATGTACATTACCGGCGCGGGAAGTATAACGTGGTAGCCGATGCTCTCTCCCGGCAACCACTAGAGCACTTACAGAGACTCACGGACGGCGAGCACCAGTGCAAGTGGCTGCAAAGAAAGATGAAGGACGTTCGGGACGACCCCCAGAAGTTCTACGATTTCATCATTGAAAACGGAGAACTATATCGCCATCTCGCCACCGTCCAGACGACCAGGACTACGTGCCCTACGTGAATCCGACAGAGCGCGCGAATCGCACGTTGAAGACTATGATCGCCCAGTACGTGGAAATTGGGCAGAACACCTGGGATATGTTGCTACTAGAACTCTCACTCGCGATCAACACAAGTGTCTCGGAATCGACCGGGTATAGCCCAGCCTTTCTCCTACAAGCTAGAGAACCACAGCTACCCGGATCCTGGTACGACAGCGTAACTCCCGGAACAGTAACGACGTCCTCGAGCCCATCAGAGAGAGAGGAACGCCTGAAGGAGATCTTCCAGATCGTGCGGAACAATCTCCAAAAAGCCAGCCGAGAACAGGGGAGACATTATAACCTGCGTCGTCGAACCTGGAAGCCCGAAATGGGATCACTGGTCCTCGTGCGACAACATCATCTGTCTAAAGCAGCAGAAGTGTTCGCAGCAAAGCTCGCCCCAAAGTTTGACGGACCGTATAAAGTGGTCGCTTTCCCGTCACCCAACGTCGTCCGAATCCGCCTACCTGGCCAGCGGAAGGGGCGACTTGCTAATATTGGAGACTTAAAAGCGTTCTTTTCTTCTTCCACAGGTAACCCCGAGGATGAAGACAGCGAAACTCCCAGAGAGGACACCGGCGACCAATCCGGGCAGCCCCAGAGTCCGAACCAACCGACCGCCATTAGCAACGAGGGGTCCCCGCTAAGTTTAAATTTGTCATAGGCCAGTAAGACCTTAAGAATGAAGTTAGGAGATTCTTTCGCTGCAGCCCAGTTATCCCTATTGCTAAGCATCAATAGAACTAAGCTAGTTTAGTTGTTTCTTTCACAGAACTGACGGGCAGAAATGGAGACCATCGTACTGTCGTCCGGCGACAGCGACGAGGAGCTTGAACCCAGCGTTCAAGGTAACCGCCAGTCGACGGCCACAAAGGATCCTCGGCTACGCCCAGGAACGGCGTACGCCGAGAGATCCACCCGGTCATGCCCGTCCGGTAGGCGCCAGCCAGGAGTCTCGGGAAGAGCGACCCCATCCTCTCCCGGATCCTGTGCTCGGACATCATCCCGCCGGGCAGCGTCGAACTGCGCCCCGGAATCCAGCGACTCCGAGAACGAGTCGATGCCGACGTCACCTCGAGCCGGGGGAGCCTCGCCGCACTACACGGACGCGGCCGGACATCGGATCTACCCGACTCCCTATGAGTGCTACCCGAGTCCAGCCGGGTCAGCGGAGAGCAGCAGGGAGTATAACCCTTGCGGTCGCAGCGAAAACTACCGGGATCACCCGAACCCCTACCCCAGTGACGATGAGGAAGAACGGGACGAACAAGCACCCTATGTCGAGGATGCTAGCGACTCCGACAACGCGGACGCGTACTCGGTGAGCAGCCGGGAGGACGACGACGATCATAGGGAAGGTGCGGCGCACTATGTTTACACGGTCGAGGACCGCTGCGGATACCACCGGGGGTCCTGGATCTAACTAATGAAAACAAGCTGGGAAACGATCCAAATAGAAGCACCGTATCGGCCACCCGATGACCCCATCGTGACCTTCCCACCGTCCCCCGTGCACCTGTGCATCATAGGGCCTGACGAGACCGAGGCAGCCGAAGACCTCGGATTCCCGACGGATTGCCCCGTTGATCTGACCTGCTCGCAGGACGAAGAGATGGGACCAGGGCCGTCCACCTCTCTCCCTCGGCCGTCGACGACCTTTTCCTTCGGACCATCCACCACACAGGATGAGTCCGGTCCACGGCGCTACCCTACGGGCAAAGCCATGGAGTGGGAGTCGGAACCCAGCGACGACGAGGAGAGCACCGGGCAGCGTTTTCGACGGAAGGAGCCCACGCTCGCCCTAGTTCCGTATCCGCCACCACCAAGCGATACACCCTTCGACACGGCGACCCAGCCCACACTCCCCCTTGGCGGACAGGGACCGGACACCGAGGTAGTCACCTACGACTTTCCCCTCCCCACAACAGCAGCCTCCACTCCATCGGACACCGCGATGGGAATGACGCCCACGACACTAGACCTCCTGTTGGGGCAGATCTCACCAGACATGGAGAGACTATGCTGGGAGCCGTCACAAGAATGGCTCTCGAACCTGGACGACCAGATCGATAACAGGGAACTGGTTCAGAGAACACGACGCGAGCTGAAGTGCGATTTCTATAAATCTGACTCGCTCTCTTTGGTTTCGACTTTTCACCGCGAGTAGACGTGTGCGCGAATAACCCTTCGACACGAGATTCACAAGCCAAACGCCTAGCCTCACATTCACTGTCCTCATCCGCGCCACACTAGTTAACATCCTCGAAGTTCCACGTAAGCAAGAACATCCATTGTGAGGGCAGCAGCCAGGGAACTACTTTCAATAACTGCCAAATATAAGCCTGAAATTGAAGAACTAAAACTCCGCGTGTTATTTCTTTACCAGTACACTTCCCCTCCTTCTAACCCCACCCGTTCTCGACCCCGATCTACGACGCGTGTTTGGTTTCGCATCCACACGACGTACTTCGGCCGAGAGCCCCCTCCTTAGAATCCTCGTAGACTCCGAGTATATCCGGAGTGTAGAAACCCGTAGGCTCCGAGTATATCCGGAGTGTAGACACCCGTAGGCTCCGAGTATATCCGGAGTGTAGGCACCCGTAGGCTCCGAGTATATCCGGAGTGTAGACACCCGTAGGCTCCGAGTATATCCGGAGTGTAGACACCCGTAGGCTCCGAGTATATCCGGAGTGGGCGACCCCCGTAGACCCCAAGCTCACCCGGAGCGGATCAACCCCGCCGTTCATGCCCGGCGGAGTTCCCTCCCCGTAGCCCCCCGCAGCCAACTCCAATCGGAATCATCCAAATTCACCATCAAGCAGTGCGATCGTCCTTTTTAGTATCTCGCTCCGCCACCAGAGGGCATTACTGACGGGTCTCATCCAAGTTCCCCACCAAGCAGTGCGATCACCCACTGAGTACCTCGTTCTATCACCAGGGGGCGCCTCAAACAGGATCCTCCCCGGGTTTCGCACCAAGCAGTGTGGTCGGCCCTATTCCCACTGCAGGCCGCTAGGCGGCGCTCTAATAGATGCCTTGTCGTCAACCTCGTGTTCAGATCGGTTTGAACAACGGCTCTCGCGCGTAGAGGCATACTCGGCGATTAGAATCCGTGCGGAAACAGGCCTTTACGATCGACTACCTCGTCGAAGAGCACTCGTATCCGGGCGCCTTACAGCGTCCCCATACAAATTCCTACTACAGGTCCCACCTTTCTATATAAATTTCTTGTATAGGTTCCTTGGCCCCCGATTGAGATTCTACCCCGGCCAGAGAACTGCGTTACAATGTATTCTTATTATATCTTTTGCTTCAATTATTGACAGTGGTTCTTACATTGTTAAATAGTTTGTGTGTAATCCATTATAGTATTTGTTATAAAGATTTCTTCGATTTGTACAGAACAATTAAATGCTTTTACGATTTTATTTCCTTGGACAACTATTGCTTGATTTATACATGTTTGGTTTAAAATAGTTTTTGGAGTAGACGTTCCAAGTAATTATAATATTTGGCTCTATATAATTTGTTTCATATTTTTTAAACATTTTTGTGTATTTACATTCGTCATTGGCTTGGTTTAATATTCCTATAATGCATTTATTGATAACTCTTTCTTTTGTGTTAAATGAAAATATTTGATTATTTTGAAAATAATATTTGTCTTCTAAAGGTTCTGTTAATATGTCATTAAATTCATTTGGGTAAGGCAAAATTTTGAATTTTGTTTATATAATGTCTTTTGGGATATGAGAAATTATCAATATTTGATTAGTATTGGTTTGTAACCAAGTAGAGGTTTTTACATTTAATAATTTTTCTGAATTAACATGTGTTAAAGTATCATGCTTAAGTAATTTAGAGTTAAAAATGCCTAGTCTAGTAAGTTGCATTCCTAGTTCTATGTCCTCTATATATTCAGTAAATTCTTGTAAATAAGTAATGCTAGCCTTTCTTCTACATTATAGACCAAGCTTAAATGATTTATTGTTTCAATACCTTTGTTTACCGCATCTATTACTTTATTAAGTTCATTAACTTGAATTGTGTTTTGTTCTAAATTTTCAATTTTATTTATTAATTCTTCTTTATCTTGTTCATCTAATGTTCCAAATAGATATTTGTATGTTGTGCCTATAAAATTTATAAGACCTCTTTTGCTACGTTTTGCAATTCTAATTCCATTCATTTCTCTGTTTAATTTCTCTGTTAAGTATATAATTTGTTTTAAACCTGAAAATTCTTCTGATTGTTTAATTAAATTAGTATGCGTTAGTTCAGTTTTGGTTAAGCTGACGGTTAAACAATGATATTCGTAATTAGTTGGTAAGTCCAAGGTTCCTGTTTTAAATATTAAATAACCGTTTTTTGCTTGAACGGGATTGATTTCCAAATTTTGGTAATTAGTAATTTTTGTAAAATGTTTTAAAATTAATAAGATATTGATAGTGTTGATCAACAAGTTAGGTTTGGTTTTCATTTGGCGTGCATCTGGAATTATCGTATTTAATTTCGTTAATTTTCTTTGTTTTCTTATATTTAGACTTATAATGTATTATTTTTCTTCCTCTGTTAACTTCTTCGTAATGATTATCATCTAATTTTGTGATTTTTCCTGTCTTTTTAAACGGATTAGTGGTTTTCGATTTTACTAGTGGAGCTTGTCGATATCTAGTATCAAATTCAAATTTATTTCGTGATTCATTTAGTTTTTCTATTTTATTGATTTTATTTCACTGTGTATTATATTTTGGAGTTCCAGCGAAAATAAAAATATCTGCAGAAGTTCTGCCTGTCGTGTTATGTTTTGTTTTATGATTATAGACATAAAGAATAGTTTCAAATTTTGTTAGCTTATTTTCTATGTCTGTTTCACTGTTTATGATTCTTAACTTTTCATTTACCGTTTTATGAAATCTCTCAACGTCAGAAATTCCATTTTTGCTTGTTGTTATATCAATAACAACATCTTCAGATTTTAACCAAAGTTGCAATGCTGCACACATGAAAGCTGAATCTTTGTCTGCTTTAATTTGGCTTGGTTTACCCATTTCATTGAAAACTTTAGTTAATGCTCTTTTTGCTTCTAACCAATCTCGACTGTTGATTTCTATTAAGGTGGCAAATTTTGAATAAATGTCTATACAAGATAAAAATTGTTTATTATCTATCATATAAAAATCAATGACATATTTTTCTCTTGGATTAAAAATTTCTGGGGTTATTTCGAATTCTAATTTAGTATTTCTATGTTCTGTTTTTGCGATTCTGCATACTTCATTCATTAATAAAATTTTGAATTAATTTTTGGTGATCGGGAAAATAATATTTTTCTTTAAAAAGTGCTGTTTGTTTTTCTATTCCTGGATGTGTGTTTTAATAATAATTTCTTTGAATTCTGCGTAAGTGTTAATATCTATTGATTTACTATTAGTTTTCATTGTTTTAGTTAAGTTATCTGGGGAAATAATTTCAACGTATGTCTTTTGAAAAATTAAAAAGTCTGTTTCAATTGGAATATATATATATATATTACGCTTTTCTTATTAGAAAAGTATTCAATTATTAATTGTTTTGTGTATTCCATTGTCATCTCTTTATATGTTATTATGATTTTTGTTTTATGAAAATAATTTATTACTTCGACTTCATTTGAGTCTCCTC